CCTCCTTTCATGCTGACTCAGAACCACACAGGAAAGCCACATGTTGACAAAAGCAAAGCTGTTGATAAATGGCCCTAGACTGTTTCAACTATATACTGTTAAGTGAGAGAGAAATAACATTTTATTAAAAGATTTATTTGACAGAGAGACAGCAAGAGAGGGAACACAAGCAAGGGGAGTGGGAGAGGGAGAAGCAGACCCCTAACAGAGCAGGGAGCCCCATGTGGGGCTCAATCCCAGGACCCCGGGATCATGACCTGAGCCAAAGGCAGATGCTTAACCAAATGAGCCACCCAGGCACCCCGAGAAATAAAATTACATAGTTTTTTTCCTTAGAGGGGATCGGTTTGTTACAGCAGCTTAAAGTGCTCCCTAATCAATACACCGTGTAGCAGTTTGGTTAATGCTTTTCTCCGTGAGCTTCATGAGAGCAGGGTTTATGCCTGCTGGCATTCCCTGCTTGTCCCCAGCACCCAGCACAGTGCCCCACACGTGGTGGGCATTGAATAAATGTGTGCCAAGTAGACAAATGGGAACTTGGGGCAAGCAGGGCTGGGGACAGAAATGGAAATCCTAAGGGTGAATATGCCTGGGTTTGTGGGAAGAGGAAAGAGGTTCTATTGAAGCTAACAGTATTAGTTTTGCTATTGCTATTGTGACAAATTGTTACAAACTAGTGGTCTAACCATAAATTTTTTATCTTTCTGTTCTGGAGGTCAGAAGTCCAACATGGGTTGAGAGGCTGCATTCCTTCTGGAGGCTCTAGGGGAGAATCCAATTTCTCGACTTTTCCAGCTTTAGGGGAGGCTGTGTTCCTTGGCTCGTGCGTGACCCTGCATCACACCGACCTCTGCATCCATGTCTACATTCCCTTCTTTCTGACCTCTTTCCTCTTATACATAAGATGTATGTGTATACATACACAATCCTTGTGACTTCATGGAACCCACCTAAATAATCCAGGATAACCCCCCCCCAACCTCATGATGCTAAATTTAATCACATCTGGGAAGTCCCTTTGGCCATGTACAACATTTTCACAGGTTCCAGGAATCGGGACATCACACATTGGGGGGGCATCATTCTGCCCACTGCACAAGGGCAAAAGTATGGAGCTCACTTAGATCATCTGCAGCATGCTGAGCTCACTGAGCCACACTGTGCATGTTTCCTCAGACCTATGTCAGGCCCCAGACACACAGAGATGCAACAACCTGGTCCCTCCTGGGAGGAGCTTGTGGTCTAGTGTGGGAGAGAGAAAATCCAAATACAGTGTAAATGTTCAATTCAGGTATGACAAGACACGATGGGAACACAGATGGGCCAGGCAGCAGTTTGTAGTGGAAACAGCATCCAATCTGAAACCAGAAGGATGAGTGCAGTGGACCAGGCGCGAGCGAGTAGAAAGGAGAGCTGGTAGCGGATTTGTCACAATCTCCTTATGAACACCCTGGAAGTGCTGAGCATTTGTGGGTGACAAATAAAAGTAACCACGGCAGGGGCACCTAGGTGGCTCAGTCGTCATGCGTCTGCCTTCGGCTCAGGTCACGATCCCAGGGTCCTGGGATCGAGCCCTGCATTGGGCTCCTTGCTCAGCGGGAAGCCTGCTTCTCCCTCTCCCACTCCCCCTGCTTGTGTTCCCTCTCTCGCTGTGTCTCTCTCTCTCAAATAAATAAAATCTTGGAAAAAAAAAAAGTAACCACGGCCTTGGGGCACCTGGGTGGTGCAGTCAGTTAAGCATCTGACTCTTGGTTTCAGCTCAGGTTGTGATCTCAGGGTTGTGGGATCACGCCCCATATCGGGGTCTCTGCACTCAACAGGGAGTCTGCTTGAGATTCTCTCCCTCTCTCTCTGCCCCTCCCCCTCTCTAAAATAAATAAATCTTAAATTTACAAAAAAGGAACCACTGCCTCAAGAATGGTAAATTGCTTTGCAATAGTTAAATGTGATAATATTCCCCTTTCTCTTCCTCATTCAAAAGTGGAAGTGACGGGGGCACCTGGGTGGCTCAGCAAATTGGGCAGCCAACTCTTGGTTTCTGCTCAGGTCATGATCTCAGGGTTCTGGGATGAAGCCCCAAGTCATTCTCCACACCCAGTGGGGATTCTGCTTGAGGATTCTCCCTCTCTCTTCCTCTGCCCCTCGCCATGGTCTCATGTGCTCTCCCTCTCTAAAATAAATAAATAGGGGTGCCTGAGTGGCTCAGTTGGTGAAGCATCTGCCTTCAGCTCAGCTCATGATCCCAGGGTCCTGGGATCGAGCCCCGCATCAGGCTCCTTGTTCAGCAGGGAGTCTGCTTCTCCCTCTCCCTCTGCTGCTCCCCCCACTTGTGCATGCTCCCTCTCCCTCTCTCTCAAATAAAATCTTTAAATAATCTTTAAAAAATAAAAACAATAATATTCTATTACTAACATTATCTATCAATTTTTTTTTTCATCTGGCTAAACTTGATTCCTTTCTCATCTTCATACACACATTTTCCATCTCAGAGCACTTCTCACCACTCAACACTCATGTGTTCCTTTCCTGATTTATGCCTAATTTTGGTGGAGCACACATCCTCTTCTATCGTTATTAAATTTTCCAACTCCCCCTCCCCCTCTCCCCACTTTAGGAAGAAGAGATCTTCAGGCTTGCTGGATAAATAAATGCAAAGGTTGGTTGATAGATACTGAATAAGTACAATAAATAGGTGAGTAGATTAATAAATTGATTAATAAAGGGAGGAATGGATGAATGGATGTAAGAATGAATTAATGATGGGTAAGGGCAAAAGGAAGGGTACATATTCAAATAAGAGCAAGAGGAAAGGGGATGGATGGATGGCTAGAAAGAAGGGTGAGAATCAGTGAACAAATAGATGGATGGCAATGAGTGGGATGAGTGGTTGACTAGTAAAGGTACCAGTGAATGAATAGATGTGGCCGAGTTGAAGTACAAATTCATGGGGAGCCTCCCTGGTGTGCCACTGATTTCTCATATGACTATGGGGGAGCTTCATGCCACCCCTCCATTCCACCATTTTCCCATCTGTAAAATGAGAAGACTGGATTTGATGACTTTGCAGCCCCATCCAGGTCTGGTTCCCTCCTGTGAATCTAGATCCCTGCTTCTCCCTTCATTTCCCACATCCACATCCAGTTCACGGGGAGATTGCCCAGGATATGCTCCACAGGAGTCCCACATTGGTACTAAGTACAAACCCAGAAAGTCCTGCTTGGAGTCTCTCCTCCAATCTCTTCAGCAAGTCAGTGAACCCAGGTGGCTAACTTGACTTCAGATTTCAGATCTGCTTAATTGCCGTACCCAAATCTCAACCACTAGCAGAACTGGGTGTTGAAATAGCATTGTTTTATGCTGTTTATCCATATTTTGAATTTCCCAGTCTTTACGCGAGTCCAGAGATCAGTTTTTGTAACCAAGGAACACCAACAAATATTGCTCAATTTCCTCAAATCGTGTCCCACTGTGGGTGTTAGGGAGTTGTTCCATCAATGAAAGGAGTCATAATCAGCATTTTTAATAAAATAGATTATAATAAAATAGTAGAAGTGAATATTGCTTCATAGAACTTGAATTCTAGTTTATAGATATAAATGGATGTGTGTACAGGGCTGTGATGTAAGCTTTGCTTCCTAATCCTGTCTCCCCAAAAGGGGGGGTGGGATAGATTAAAACTGCTGATCTGAGCTTTTATGATCTCCCCACATGCTGGGGACAAGGTATCTTGTTTGATTATCTCAAACCAACATGGTAGATATTTTTAGTTTCCTCTTTCAGGGATAAAAATTCAGGAGGGTCTGTAAATTGCTCAAGGCTATCCCCATAGTGGGCGATGGAGCTGGGGTTGTCCAAAAAATGGAAGGCATCCTCTCCTTCATAAAGTGGGAAGAGGAGAAGGGCAAGGTGGAAAATTTAGTAACAATAGAAGAGGATGTGTGCTCCATCAAAATTAGGCATAAAGCAAGAAGGGAACACAAGTGTTGTGCGGTAAGAAGTGCTTAGAGACAGAAAAATGTGTGTATGAGGATGATAAAGGCATCCGGGTTACCAAGATTCAAATAGAAGTAAAATTACTAAACTCAGGAGAAACTGAATGTAGTCAGGCCTTCCAGAAAGAGAGGCAAGAAGCAAGAGCAAACGGGCTGCACTGGGGAATGGTTTGCATTAGCTTTACAGCTGTGAAGTCAGCCAAGACCCCGTGGGAAGCAGGCCAGGTGCCATGTATAAATGTCCAGGTCAGTGCTCGACTCCACACACTGCCCTTGCTGTTGCCTTGGCAAAGGACTCCACTTAATCATAATGATGGTTCAAGAAAACAGCCTGCACTGCACACAAATGAAGCTTTAAATAGGGAAGAAGTTCTCCTTGATCTGATCTTGGTCTACCAAGGTCAGAAAGTCTGAGGAGGGGTTTGGAAGAGGTTTGCTTGTCGACCAAGGACAATGGCATGAAGGAAATGGCGGTGAATTGCTTAAAAGTTCAGCTGGAGCATGAGCAATGCGGGTGCGGGGGAACTACATTCCGGCCTTGAGCATCTGGTAGAAACCGCAGTTATAGGATAGCTAATATTTATTGAGCATTTACTATGGGCCAGTCACTTTTAAGGGTTTCGTGTGTATTGCCTGCTTAATCCTACAAGATTATGAAGTGGGTATTATCAGTCAGCCCATTTTACATTCAAGGCAATTGAGACTTGGGAAAGGTCTCTTTCCTAATAACCCAGTGAATGAGCAGCGGCACTGGGAATCGAACCCAGGCCTCGTGACTAGAAAGCCTTAACCACAGATAGAGGCTTCCACTGATCTACTAGAGGAATGACCCAGAAGGGAGCTAGAGCACACAGTACGAAGCTTATTATGACCCAGAAGCTGGGCTTAGCCAGGGGGACTGTGGGGCTCCTGGAAGGGCCAGTCTAATGCCAGTAATCCCTGTTTCTTCTCCCTGTCTCTGGGAAGTCTTCTCACACTGCGAGGCATCTGTATCCAGTCCTCTGGGGCTCAGGGCCTGACACTGCCTCGGGCAGAACTCTGGCTGCACCAGTCAAAAACAACCAGTGTGCCCAGGGAGATGAGCACCAGGCCCGCCAGCCCCAGGCGGACGAGGTTGCCCTGCATGTAGTCCAACGAGCGTGAGCCTGCAGGACAGCAAGGGAGAGAGGCCTTCAGCTCTGGAACCCACAGTCTGGGCCTGCTCTCTGGGTCTCGAACCTCCAGGGTGAGACTGGAGACACAGCTCCCAGTCTCAAAGTTGTGGTGGGTTGATGGGAGCAGGGGTCCTGGACTCCTGGATTTGGGTAAGAAGGGGTAGGGTCCGGACCCCTAGATTGGGGAGCAGGGACGAATCCGGGCGTGGACCCCTGGGAGGGGGAGCACGGAGGGCTTGGGGGCCCAGACCCCCAGACTGGGGAGCAGGGAGAGGCTGGGGCCTGGATCCCCAGGTTGGGGAGCAGGGAGGAACCAGGGGTTCTGGGTTGGAGAGCAGGGAGAGGCTGGGGACCTGGATCTCCAGGCTGGGGAGCAGGGAGGAACTGGGGGCGCGGACCCCCGGGCTGGGGAGCAGGGAGAGGCTGGGGCCCGGACCCCCGGCTGGAGAGCAGGGAGGAACTAGGGGCGCGGGCCACCGGGCTGGGGAGCGGGGAGCGGCTGGGGCCCCGACCCCAGGCTGGGGAGCAGGGAGGAACCGGGGGCGCGGACCCCCCGGGCTGGGGAGCAGGGGCTGGGCGGGCGCGTCGGTCGCCCTCACCGTCGGCGCTGATGACCAGCGGCTCGCTGCGCAGCGACAGCACGTACGGGGAGGACGGCGTGTGGTAGTAGCAGCTGTAGGTGCCGGGAGCGCTGGCGCCGGGCAGCGGGAAGTCGGCCCAGGGCTCGGTCGAGTCGCGGTACTGCAGCGGGGCCGCCACGCCCACGCGGTACAGCGCGAAGCTCATGCCCCGCAGGCGGCCGGCGCAGCGCAGGCTCACGTTGGCGGTGGGCGCCACCACCGGCCCGGGCAGCGCCACCAGCGACGGGGGCGGCAGCTGGTCTGCGAGGAGCACGGACCGGGACGAGCGCTGGCGCGGCCTTGCGCCCCCGGACCTTCGCCCCTCTTCCC